GGAAAGGTAGCCTCAGTATACCGTCCAGCTCCACAGCATCACGGAAGGGTATCCTCAGTATTCCGTCCACCTCCACAGCATCACGGAAGGGTATCCACAGTATTCGCTCCACCTCCACCGCATCCCGGAATGGCATCCACAGTATTCGCTTCACCTCCACCGCATCCCGGAATGGCATCCACAACATTCCCTGCAGCTGCACCATCCCGAGTAGCCGGACATCCTCCCCCGCCAACCCCTGCCCCTGCCCCTGCCCCTGCCCCTCCCCCTCCCCCACCCCCTCCTATGACTGCTAAAGGACATCAACCAAAAGGAACTAAAACTGTTTCACAATCAAGCTTTTATTCTGATGATGAAAACTAAAAATACAAATTACGATGACTGGCTATCATTTAACAGGTAAGAAATAACAGGCTGACTAAGAACATGCGACTGGTATTGACCGTATTTTCGTTCAGTTTCCGAGCACCGAATCCCTCTTTCTCTGCTTTCATTTGAGAAGTCGGGTTTGATCGGATACCGATGGGGATCTCGGATCCTGTGAACGAGGTCTTTTTGAATCTGGGCTAGTTATTTCCCAAATGAACCTACAGAAGACCCTTAAGTTATTTTGCGTTTTCAGTGAAGCGGAGACCAGCACAAAGCAAGAGCTAGTCGCGAGTGACGTGTGACAAGGCGTTAGTGAAGTGAATGACAAGGCGCGAGTGACGCGTGGCGCGTGACAAGGGGGGCGAAAAAGGCGTTATCTTCTGTGCATTCCTCCTTTCGCAAGTTACTTGCGAATGATTAGACTATTCTCCAGAGGGCTAAAGAAAACATCACTTGTTCAACTCAGTCATATGCGTCTTCTTGTTTTCAGGAGTTCTTGCTGAAATGGTTCTTGACGCACATTCCTACTGTTAGTATTATACAACTTTAACATATGAATTTCAACTTTAATCTGGATCAAAACATTTATTCACTTTTGTTTCAATCAAATATCTTACTTTTTGTTGCATATTTTTTGTATTGCTTCATATGATTACTGACCAATAAACAACTGAAATCGTCTCGTAACCGTTGTGGTAGTTGTTTCCTTTAATTTTCTCTAACTATACTGATGTGAACTGATATGCGTCACGCGCTTTTAAAATAGATTTCTCCTCTGGGATCTTGAAACAGAAGCAAGGATTTTTGCAGGGCGTAAGTACACTTCACCCCTTTCGAAAAAGTAATAATAGTTCATCTTTAAAACTGGAAAAAACTAAGCATGTTTTCTTACCTTGCGCAAAGGCAAAAAGAATTTCGTGTACAGTAACGAGAGGTCCTGGGAAAGAGTACATCATATCTCGCTCCCAATGCTCTTCTTTGCAGCACGGATGGTTATTTGTCCATTATGGCGGCGGACTTTTATTTCATTCTTCTTTTGGTTGTGTGCTGTGTGCATTTATATGTCTGCCCGTTTACCAAAGTAGAAGAAAGTTTTAATTTGCAGGCAACTCATGACCTACTCTACCATGGAATGAACATTTCCAAGGTACGTATTTGGAAGATTTTTATGGCATATGCCTCAGAAGGTTCGATCATAGGAAAACGTGTTCTTTATTTTTAGCTTTATTCGGGCTGGGATGTAGAATTTTTTTTAATGATAGCCTTTATTTTCGAACCAAAGAACATTTTTTTTTTGTTTTGTTTTATAATCAGGGATTTGTCACGATATCATTTATACATGGGTTTAGTGACTTTTAGAGAAAGGCTACGAAACTGGGTGGGAGGTGGGGGGAGGGGAAGGTGCCTATAAGTAACTGAACTTAAAAAAAACAAACAAACAAACAAACAAAAAAAAGAATATAAGTAAAAGGAAAAAAGCGAAACTGCAAAGCAGGAGATAGGCCTGCCATTCTTAGATTTATGTAAGCTTTATTAACTAAAACTGAGAGTAAATCCCAGTGTGATGGCTTCATGGAAAAGGAAAAAACTATGGAGGAGGGGGGAAGGGGTCACATATGGTCTTGGAAGGCAAACAAAACTCACAGTTTTTGGAGAATAACACCTTCAACAGTAGAAGAAGGACCAGGGTGGCTAAAATCTACCCTTTGTTATACCCTGCTATCTTCTCTCTTGCCTACTACAGGCTTTGATTCCCATTTCCTACCTTTTATTATGAAACGATGTGCAGTAATGACTGAAGAATGTCCAAATATTTCCTGTAAAACTTCCAGTACTACCCACCTGCCTGTTCAGTACCCTGTCGTGTACATATCAGTCAATTGTAGTGTTTAATCTTTGTTGTAGTATGATCATTTAGAGTTCCCTGGTGTGGTGCCTAGGACATTTCTTGGACCAATTGTTGTCTCCTCCCTCGCATATCCTGCTGTCATGATCCTTAAATTTGTTGGTTCATCTAAATTATGGTCACAGTATGTAGGTAACTTACATTTCATGGAATATTTCTTTGATATCAGTATAACTATTTTGCATTATTATTTAAAATGTAACCTTGAGACAGGTCATCTTGCATTTACAAACCTTTTGACCTGTCCTGCATATTTTTGTTTCAATCCTTTAACTCCCAAGATCTCATTAGTAATTCTCTCTACTGTCAGCCATACAGTTCTTGTGATGTTAGTTTGGAGAATTTGGGATTGTCTCAACTTATAATCCCCTAGAATTTATATTTTTCTTTATTCTCATCACTTATCTGCTTGATATTGTATGGATATTGTAAGGAGAAATTCTGTGTTGGTCACTCATGGGAGTTAAAGCATTAAACACTTTCAATACCTTTTTAACTCAAATTATTACCAATTTTTTTCTCTCACTATTTTCTCATTTTCCATATTCTGATATTTTCCTCATTTTCCCCAATATCTTTTCTTTAAATTCTTTTCATCTTTGGGGGTCTCAAACATGTTCTAAGTTTCATCATTTATTGACTCAAATTAGTATAGGTAATAACATGATTCTCAGTGCAATTTGGTGCTAATAAGCAAGAGAAAATTTTTTCAAAGACAATAAAATTTCACAAGCCTGCAGGGTCCAGCAATGCAATTTGTAGTCTTTGAAAAATTTACAAGTGCTTATTTGTACCAAATTGCTCTTGAGATCACATTATTACTTAATTAACTTGAAAAAGCATCACAGAAAGTCAGAGAGACAAAATTTTGACAGCTTGCACACGCTATTTGTAACTTGTACAGTCTTACAATTTTGCAATGATGTTACAGGAAAAATGCACTCGTTTTCAGCCAATCAGAGGCATGTAATTTTATCATGCATGTTATTATATTTCGTGTAATTTATCATGCTTGTTATTATATTTAAAATTGTCTAAGTTTTCATTCTTGTTCTCTGATTTTACTGTTTATGTACACAATTTGTATTTTTTCGATTCCAGTACGATTTTTTCTTGGTTTGCTTGGTCTTCTTGCCTTTTCAAAGTTCCGCAAATCAATCGCAACCAAGTTTGGACAGGATATTGGGAAGATTATGGTGGTACTCACTGTTACTCAGTTTCATTTCTTGTTCTACATTTCAAGACCATTACCTAATACTTTTGCACTCATTTTAGGTTGGTACACACATGTATACATGTATTTAACAACTCTTTTTCTGAGGCAAAGTCTGTATAGTGAAGAAATCCCTTAAAATAATGAAATAATTTTATGTACAGCTACCTTCCATTTGAGGCAAAAATATGGTGGAATATTTGTTGGCAGACTTAATATCTGTGCCAATAAGGAACATTACTTGAGAAAAATTGTGAAGTTTTTGAAACCAATAATATCTAGGGACAGATGAATGTCTAGAAACCTTTAAGTAACCCCTAAGGGTGATAAGCATCTAATTTATCCTAACAGTATCATCCCTGATTCAAGCATTAAGGTCATGAGAAAAAAAATAATGATCACAAACCCAAGATGCTCTTGATTGTTAGACAAATTCTCCTTGTAATTCCCATAGTTAATGTATCAAGAACAAAATGGAGAACTTACATACTGATGTTAGGGTGTAAAGGTGTAAGCATTGCAATCTTGTCAGGAAGATGCCATGCTTAATCCTATTATTTGGTAAGGTAGTTTTGAGGTAAATCCAAGCACTGATTGGTTATTACTTGGTCGGGATTCTGCCATATAGACCATTTCCATGGAAACAGTCAAAACCTGTGTATTTTTGTTTGTGAAAGCAGACAAATTCAAAGTAAACAAGTTTGGTCCAAGTGTCATACAATAAACTACTTGCAAACCAAGGGTGGAGCTATATTGGGTAATATTGGTTCTCAGCTGTTCTTTTTGTACATGCTACCACAACCTTGGGCAAGGATTCCCTGATATGGTCCGAGTACTTGGCTTGTAAGAAGTTATTAATCATTTTCTTAATTCTGTCTCATCATGCAGTTCTTTTAGCATTTCATTACTGGCTGGATCAACATCACGCCAAATTCGTTTGGATATCAGCTTTTGCGATTATCATCTTCCGATCAGAGTTATGTATTTTGCTTGGCCTGATCCTACTGCTAGAGCTAGTTACAAAACGTCTGACTTTAGGCACTGCATTTGTCCATGCAGCATCAGCAGGTGTTAGTGCTTTGGGTAAGTGGATCAAAGAGTATTCTTGTTGGAGATGAATTTTGAATCATCTCCATTGTAGCTTGTAGATTGAATAAATCCAAACTTCTCTGGGTTCTCTAGAAAGAAAAAGAAAGTATGGAAATATTTTTAATTCGCATGAGAACTTAATGGCAGTTAGGAAAATCTGGACAGTGTCAGTAATTGAAAATTACTTTATCATTGACACAGGCATAAAAGCAGCACCCAGTGATAAGCCAAAATCCAAGTTTAGCAACTCAAATTTTTTTCTGATCTAAGTACAGAAATTCTGAAAAACAATTTGGCACTGTCATTTTGGATCCAAAAAGATCTAAGTACAGAAATTCAGAAAGACAATTTGGCAATGTCATTTTGGATCCAAAAAGACCTTTCTTCTCAAAATGCAAGAGGGTGTAAATATTTACCTTATGAAGAACTAAATACTCAGAGCTAATTGTAGGAAAATACTAGGTAGTGCTGAGAATTACAATTGATCAGATCTTAAGATTTTTTTAAGTTGCTTATTTTTTTATTTCATCAATTTTTTTACTTTTTCAAACTCTTACATTCTTTCAAACCATGGCAATCATACATAGAATATTTGTCATGTGGTCGAATTTTTTTAATCCATGTTTTATTCTCATTATTATCAGCTTTGACTGTTTCTGTGGACTCCATATTTTGGAGAAGGTTCCTGTGGCCTGAAGGAGAAGTCCTGTGGTATAATACTGTCCTCAACAAGAGTTCTAACTGGGGTGTATCCTTTCCATTTCTAATCATTTCATGTTGTCCTTCGGTAACGTTTTGAAAAGGTAAAATAGTTTCCAGAGAGGTCTTAAAACTAAAACACAACTCTCATAGCTTTTTCTAATCAGATGCCTTGGATCAGCAAAAGCTGGTGCGCTTGTTTTAAGCTTGTTTTTAATTTTTACATACTGGAAACAATTTCTACATTTGGAGATTGAAAAATTTGTGGGAGTTTTGTGAGTGAGTGAATAATTTTCTGAATTTTATGGGAACAAAGTTTTGTGTTTCAAGATGACTTAAATTTCTGTTGGGAATTTATTTTGAAGATTTTTAGTTCAAGCAGTAGATCATTCACAAGGAAAAAAGACAATAATAATATTTTCAAATTCTCTAAACTTCCAATTTAAACAAACAGGGAAACAAAAAAAATATTTGAATAATAGATAGCTCTCTGGATGGAAATTCTCTTGAAAGTTGCAGATGCCAATTATGATTATCACAGAACAAGACCTTTAATCTGTTTAAAGCAGCAACAGAAAACAGAATGATGTAATTTCTAGCCTTAAGCTTTAAGGAAACACCTCAATTTTTAATATTTTACTATGTCAGCTTTCCTTTACTGCACTCTAGACCTCACCATTTCTTTGGTATTTTTATTCTGTTCTTCCCAGATGTTTGATGTTTGGTTTAGTCTTAGTCCCTCTGGGACTCTGGCGGAACAGGAGAACCTGGGAACTAGCTGCACCATGTTTAGGCTTTGTGTTTATATATTCATTTCTTCCTCATAAAGAATTGCGGTTTATTATATATGTTGTCCCTGTGATGAATGCAGTGGCTGCATGTGGTCTGAGCTTTATGTAAGTATCGTAAACTTTCCAATCTCTTTCCAATAAACTTTTAAATGTCGCTGTGGTGAAAGGGGGAGGGGAATTTGGTTCAAATTGACAGAGTACTAAAGAATGTCACAATCAAGATTCTCCCTCGATCAGTAGTCCATATTGAGCTTTAGGAATCTTGAATGAAAACGAAAGTAAAAATTAAAATTTTACATTGGGGTGAGTGGGCAATACAATCGAAGTGCAACTGCTTGAATTGTAGTCTGTTTCCTCGTACGTAAACGAAGATGGTAAATTTGAAGCCTGGTTACTTTGGTGAAATATGATGTTATTCCGTGAAAGACACAGGTATATTTGAGAAAAACGGACTCTCCTGCCTCAAGTTTCTGAAAGCTCCGTGGTAGAGCATCAGCAGTACTAATTGGAATGTCGAAGGCGCCAGTGCTACTGAGAAAACTCGGAGTTCTGATTATGCTCGTGTCATTCACCAAATTACATCGTCTTTCAAGAAGTCTGCCTTATCCTTACTTCTAAATTTTTAACCATCTTAAAGCTGATTTTTTTTTTTTGAGTGCAAGATGACTTAAGACATAGCTATTATAGGGAGGTAGGTGATCGTAAAACGTGAAAGTATTTATCTATGGATTTACTCTGGTTCCTTCCATAGACTCAAGAATGAATCCAAATGGCATCTCTTAGTCTCTGGTGTGGTCAAACTTCTGACTGTGGGGGGACTCCTAGGGAGCTCTCTAGCAACCGTTTTAGCGCTGTATTTATCGCATTTTAACTACTCAGGTGGAGTGGCTCTGCAAAAGCTACATACGCTGTTAGAGAACTACCCAGGTATAGTTTAAGTTATTTTGAACATTTAACCGAGAGAGAGTTATGAATGATTGATGTCTGGGAAAAGTCAGAGATGACAGACTCATTTGTTTTGGCTTCAGAACCTTGCCATGTTCACATTTCTGTCGCTGCGGCTCAGACTGGTGTTTCTCGATTTGGAGAGATCAATCCATCTTGGAGGTGAGGTTAATTTGCGTATCTTTAACAGATTAGTAAGTACGATTAACGGTCCTGTTAGATTAGTTGCTCCTTATGAATCTTTTACCGCATGTTTTCCAATGTGTAGAGTAAATTGTAATAGTGGATGTGCTCTTGGTTGCTATCTTGGGCCTTTCTATCCCGCTCATGTCGGCAGCACTCAGAGTTGTCTTTTTGCTAGTATGCCTATGCCATTTGTAGAGCATCCAAAATGGTTATTGGAGGGTTTTCAGTTCGGAGCCTCTCGGGAGCGTTCGGATTTTGACAGTTACATCGCTAAAAGAATATTCGGCGGAAGATCGAAAGTTCGTCCCCCGTCGGGTGTGCACGGATTTTCTCAGTAGTAGAACATTAGAGCGAATAATCTGAAAGAAGAAAGTTCGTCCCCCGTAGGGTGTGCATGGATTTTCTCAGTAGTTGAACATTGGAGCGAATAATCTGAAAGAAGAAAGTTCAGACCTTGTTGGGTGTGCTCGGATTCTCTCAACGGAAGGGCATCCGAAATAGTTATCAAAAGGTCGTTGGTTCGGCTCCTGTCGGTTGCGGTCGGAATTTCAGAAGGATCAAGGCAAAAGTGCTCTGATTTTTCCGTTCCCTGGTAAACCTGTGCGTCTGACTGCAGTTGTCATTTCTCATAAACGCCAGTTATTCTTGAATGAAGACGATGACGGGTTTTAATCTTATAATTTTTTTTTTTTTCGCCTCTCATAAGATATTCGAAGACAGAAGGTCTGGAAAAAGGCAGCCCGGATATGCTGGTTTTCTCGCATCTTATAACTGAACCAGAATGTTACGAGCCGAAGGAGAGTCCGCATTTTGTTCTAGGAGTGGTGAAGGGACTTAGTGGTATAGAGATGGTAGATAGAATATGTATTCTGGAGAGGAAGAACTGGAGGAAAGCCAAGACATGAGTCTTTGATGTCTGCGTTTTAGGCTTAAAATAAGTAAAGAATCAGTTTGAAAATGCAAAAGACTAGCGGCAAAGAATTAATATCATTGCGTAGATTGATAAGTTTTTGATTAAATGTAGACTAGGCATTGAATTGCTCTCAAAAAGATAAGTTCCTTAACGCTTGAAGATAACTTACAGTATGCAGTCGAAAAGTTGCGATCCACATCGGGAATGACCACATCTAAAGGAACAAACGGTTACTATTCATTACAAACATTTTATTCTCCAAATCAAGATTAAAATATGACAAACTGCTTTCAGCCGCGAAGATCAATTCTTTACTTGTTATCTTATCTGAGGACAAATAAAAAAAAAAAGGTTACAAGTTATGTATTAAAGAATAAAAAGTTTCGAAGTACTGAATTCTACATGTCTTCGTGATATTGTGCGGGCTCTCTTACGAGGAGTGGAGGAGAAGGAGAGGTGGAACAGCTGCGGTCAGGTACAAATAAGGTATAACAAACGTATTGAAACTGGAAGGACTGCAATAGCTTAAGGCGACACCTCCCCTACCCAAACGTTTTCAGATTTGCTCTTTCTTGGAGCCTTGGAAAAATTAAACGAGTTTTGTTTTACATGAAAGCAAAGCATTTACTACAATAAAGGCAGTTCCGGCTACTTACCGGCTTCAAAGTAGAGGAGTTTACAACCAAGCAGTAAAAATACAAAGGTCTGATTATTTAAACACAGATTAGCTGTTGTTCAACAAAATCGCGTCATAAACCATTTTCAATTTAGCTGAATCTGTGATCTGAACATGAATTTTTTTTTTTCAAGAGGGCCGAAAGCTAACAGTCGAATGACATTTATTTAATTAAGTCAACCGTCTTGTAGGGAAAACCTAAGGCCCTCTGCTTGCGTGAAACGGCGGTTTAAGTTAAACTCCGTGTCAATAGCTGGCACAAGCTTTTAAACCACGACTTTTCCTATCACAAATTTCAATCTCCGAAGTACCTTTCCCAACTACTCACTAATTACAAACAATTTTTAAAATTTTTAATAAATGGAGATTTCTTCGGACAATTGACCTTTTGTACTTTCACTTTCAAACCTTTATTCTACTAGAAAACTCAGTTGAATTGCAGAGTTTTGCTCCATCGAGCAGAAACGACGTGTTGTGCTGGTTTCTCCGCTCTAAGCTACCTCAAGAAGTAAATTAAAGTGTGCGTTTCTTTATCTTACGTTTAAGAGCCGAGATATGAAGAATTTATTGAGATTCTGCAGTTATAGACACTCCTAGATATGAGAGGTTGAAAACAGACTTGTTACGAGGCTTGAAAAACGGAGGACTTAAGTCGGTGGGTGGGAGTTTCCTTTATTCTGTTGAAATTCTTCGTTACTAAGTCTTCGTACCTCTTTTACGGTCTCTTAATGTGCATTTAGAGTGGATTATCGATTCATAAATTTCACTGCACTTTCCCTTAAAAGGAAAATAGCAGCGTTGGAGCATGACCTAAGATTTTTCAAAGGTGGGGCCACTACAGGTTTGAATTTCCATGCGGCTTAAGTGAAGCTGATTGTGCCGCCGTCATTCGTTGTGAATCAGCGGACCTGCAGAAAGGAGCCACAGACGGGAGAGCTGGCTCTGTAAAAGATTGATGCCAAGAGGGATCTTTCCATAAGCTCGTATTCACAAACCTGAATTATTTAGGCTTTCTATGTTATGCCTCGGAAAATGTTATGCCTGTTTTTTTATTTCACGCGTCCTCCATAATGGAGTAACCAAGTCATTTTGGCAGATTAGCAATTAAGAAAACGTCGAAATCGGGCTTTTTTTTTTTCTCTTTTTTTTTTCCGGAACCTTCGATATTTAGTTTATCTAAATTTTCTGAACAACTTCTAACTGTTCGAGAGACACAATGGTAGGCTTTTTGGTATTTTTCAGTTTCAGAGTGGTTTCCTCACCAAATAATATTTTCTGCAGTGCAATTAGAGCTGCTTTTTGGCTCTTTTCACGAGCGTATTTACGACGCCTTTATTTCTTCTTGATTCTTAATTAGCCGACCGAACGTGCAAACTAAACTTCGTGCCAAATCTATGACGTATCAGCCGATTATTGGCTAAAGCTGCTAATCCATATTCATCAGGAATTGTAGAATTTTCAGCAAACAACGTTGTCTGTCGAAGAGCAAAGGTGTATCGTCCATCTGTGCCGAAGAAAAAGTTACAATATGGAAGGAATACGACACCTGACTTGTTAGAAAGACGCCTGTGTTACTACGACAGAAGGTGAGCATTACTTTGAAAAATTTTACCAAAATATTTTGTTATGAAGCTGAGCAAGTCAGAAAGTCTTGTTGACGCGTCAACACGTGTCAGTTGCTTGGCCTAAGCGGCTCATAACCTTGTTTGATGGTGTTGGCCTTTGCAAAAGCTAAACTTATGGTTGGAATACATTGATGAATAAAGAAATTGCTATCTTTTGGTAAAACTCTAGATTAGAGCTATTTAGAAAGCTCTCTTTAGTACAATTTCTCGTATGTAATTTCAAGCAATCTCTCATTGCATCTCTAATTCTCTATTTTCAGGAAAAGGAATGATGTCGGAATGATGGAATTCAAGGTTAAAGAATCCGGTCAAGACAAGATAGTGGAATCAAAACATGTAGAAAGGATACTGCAAAGATAAGAACTTTAAATTTGTTCAGTATTTATAGCAAAAATGGTGGCTGTCTAGATATGTCTTGTGTTTGTAAGAAGACTTTACACCTCGCTAGTCGCCAGCATGTCAATCATCTTGTGTTTGGAAAAGGATGGAATTGATTGGTAAGTAAAAAGTTTATGTCGAGCCACCATTTTTGAATTAGTTCCTAATGACACGGACTGTGACGCAGATTTCGAGTGATCGTATTACAATTTTATTTGACATGACTAAGAGCTCTGATTTGGAGGAATTCATCTCGGAAACTGAATGCGGATCGTGGTCTTGATAAAGGTAGCAACCACACTTTTGTTAAAATTGGACTGCAGAAAACTGTTTTTTTTTTTCATAATGTCGTATCAGCGATGGTCTTTTTGTCGTTTGCTTAACAGTTCGTATCAAGAAAATATCTCGGTTGATGTCACAAGAAGGTGATATATGTTAAGATGGCACTCTAACAAAAGACCTTGGACAGCAGAGGGCAGATAAAAGCCAAAAATGAAAATTTTAGGTTGAGCAGAATTGATATTACCTTAATAGTCGAATGACTGAGCACAATTGACTTAAAACTACACGTGTAATTATGACATTTCTGAGTGGTTAACTCAATGCAATGGCTACAAAAAAGGACTGAGTTTGAAAAGCTTGGTTCCCAACGTAGGACAGACTCCTCTCAGATTTGGAACAAAAAAACTGTAACAATGAACAGAAGAGAATGTTCTGGATAACTTAGGCGACGATTCAAAACTGACTTAAGAGAAAATGACGTCACTCAACAATTGACCTAAGAATTTCTCGAAACACACTCATAACTTGCCTTTAATGACTTCTGATCAAACTGAACAGAAGAGAATGTTCTGTAAACTTAAACAACGAATCAAAACTGGCCCATGGATTTCACAAAACAGAGTTATAACTCGCCTTTAATGACCCCCGATCAAACTGACGAAACTTAGTTTATCAAAGGAGCTGTTTTCTGGCTAGACAACACTCACTCTGACGATAACACCTGACCATCGACTGTTTCTGTCTCGGCTTTTGATCGTTGAGCGTTAAGTAGCCAACGATGGAAAACAACTCGATTTGATTTACCTATCATCGTCGACAAGATCTGAATTCATTGAAATTGAAACAAGGCCTTCACAGTGCCAACTTAAAACTAATGTCTACCGTTTTGTGTCATCACCTGAGGTCGATTCTAGTTTGCAAGAGAACATTGGTTACAGAGTTATCATCAAATTTTTAGTAATTGTACATTGTGTTTAGATCTATAGTTTTCTTTGTAAGTACCAATGTTCTCTTGACTTTCCACAAGTTATATCTTTAAACGCTAATGCCTGGTCACGAGAACATGAAAGGAAAAAAACTCGCTGAAGATAGAATGCATTGTTACATAAACCAGTGAAATGAATTCCAGTTCTCGTCGTGGAATACACCGAGATTTTTATTTTTGAGGGTGATTGGATTAAACGACGAGAAATTCCAACGAGGAATAAATAATGATTAGTACTACTGCCAGACGTTCACCTCTGTTCAGTTGGTACGGAGAATTATTGATTTTCATTTCTCAAGGAAAAAAGATTTCATCGGAAGACGAAGATGCAGAATTTTATCTCAAATCGTTGAAAAATGTTATATGAAATCGGCGGAGAACAATTCACAAGCTAATTTTGAAATGAAAAAAGGCCTCTATTGTGTAACATTATTAGCGGTTCTCCCTTATCAATTCTTTCAACAAAATCTTGAAATATTTCAATAAGGTTCCGAAATAGTTAGTGCATTATTAGCGCTTTGTAAAAAAAATTCATACCATTGGAAAGATGTATAATGTGCAACCGAAGTTAATTATGTTTCGTAGAAGTTTCATTTAAGCCTTCACTTTTATTGAATTTGACGTACGATTACATATTTTCCTTCGATCAACATAGTATTCGCGCGAAAATGAATCTTTCTCTTTAAATTCGTATCGGAAGGATCTCCATTTAAACCTTTATAACTATTCTTAAACAAGGCCGTTGTCCCAAAGGTAATCTGTCGTTTCCACCACTGTTTTATTTACACAAGAACTGTATGCATAATGAGTACCTGCATGGCTGTGGAAATCTTGCCCAAATTGTTTGATTCAAAATTTATAGCGGAATCCAACGATTTTATTAAATTTCCAGCTTTTGTTAAGAATTCGGTGCTTCTTAATTCTGATGTTGCAATGGTTGTCATTTTGCTGGTTTATGTAACACTATTTTCTCAATATGAATTTTGAATACGAAGTTAATTAATTGGCAAAATTTAAAACCGTGTTACACTCCTCGTAACAATTAGTTCAGTTGCTCTTTAGACCAGGCATTTAGTTTTAAAATATAACAGTTTAGATATTTATTTAAGAAGGAAAAAGATCTTTTGTGCTGGTTTTCGGTGTAACACAGGACTACAGAGAAAAAAAAACTTCAAAGAACTTTGGATTTTCAAATTATTGATACTTAAGTCAAAAGAGCAATTCTGAATTTTTGAATTTATTGAAGAAAGCAAGCGGAGTTACGGATAAAAATCTTAGCCTTTAGGTCAAAACTGGAATTAAAAAATTTGCTTCCGCAACTATAAGCTGAAATATCAGATTTTGTTTTCTCTGAATTACCAAAATATTTTGACTGGAGCCCAATTGTGAAATGTCTTCGCTCTTGCTGAAAGCAAATTAGACCCTTATATGCTTCAACAATATTGATAAGGTTTTGTGAACCCTTGCAGTTAAATTTTGAAATTTTATGGCTTGGGCAAATCAAATTCAATAATATTAAAATATTAAAATATTTGAATTACTCTATTTCACGCTATTCAACTAAATCTTTATGGCAAATATACATTTTTTACTCAAGCAAAGACCTCGAGATATACTTAGCTTTTGTGTTGAAAGCCAAAGTTAGAGAAATTTCCGTTACAATTGATGACTATTTGCTGCACAAAATGTTTATATTTTTTCTGTTTTGCGTCCTGGGTTACATTTGAAAGCTAGTTGCTTTATGTAAGATCTTTTTACTTGAAACAGCATCATGGCAAATTATAGTTTAAGGAGAAAAAAAAAGATTGGCTTTGAAAAATTTCGGTTCAAAGATCATTATTTTTTATGTTAAATTCTGCTGAATTTTCTTGATTTTGCCATGATGCTCTCGTATCTGTAGCTGTTAAACATCATCTCGTGCAAAACCATTGTAGTAAAAAATTTTACGAAAGACATGAGAAATAACGCATGCACAATTTCACATGGAAAGCGAATCGGACTTCAATTTTTTTGCTGAAAAAATATTGACTTTTGTTTGAAATTTTTGCGCACGAGATGCTGTTTAAAGGAATTTTGGCGGGAAATTAATTAGCAAACCTTATTAAAATTTTTGCCAACAAAGTTGCCAGGGGAAACTCTGCAAATTGTTCCAAATTTTCCCGCCAAAAGTCTTAGTATATATAGGAAAAATTGTCCTTGACACCTCTTTAAATAATTAAAATATTTGCTGATTGAAACACTTGTACATTGTTGAATGAATATTGTGAAGGACAATAAAGATTACACATATTGAAAATACTTTATTTTTGTTAATAATACAAGAAAATAGAAATAAAAGTTTATTGACAAGTGAATAATAATACGACTAAAAAAAAAAAATCCGGCGCATGCGTATTTTGAGCACCGTATTTTTTCTAAGTTTTTTGGCGGGAAAATTTGCCACATTTGAACAGAAATTACTTACAGAACAGGTTTTTTAAAAAATTGGCGCATGCGTATTTTAAGC